CTCCTGAGCTCAAACAATCCGCCCGCCTCGGCCTCCCAGAGAGCTAGGATTACAGGCGTGAGCCACCGCGCCCGGCCCTAATTAGCTCTTAATCCCGTACCTGCGCCCTGCGTTCCTTCTAAACCCCTCCGCGTCGCAAACACACACCCATGAACAGGGTCCACCACGATGGCCCTCGGCTTGGAGCCGATCTCCTTGAATAGCGTTTTCCTCTTCACGCCCTTGGTGTCAGCCACAGAGACAGTGCCCGGGACGGAGTCGGTCCAGTAGATGTTGCCGTGGATCCAGTCCACCGCCAGCCCGTCAGGGGCCTGGAGGTCTCCGCCGATGACAGTGTCGTAGGAGGAGAGGCCGTGGGCGCCGTCAATCTGGGTGCTGGGGCAGGAGGAGGGCAGCGTGAGATTGAGGGCCGGGGGCCATCGTGTCACCTGGGTGCCGGGGCCGCGTGCGGGGCTGCCGCTCACCTGTAGATCTTCCTCTGGGACAGGTCAGACCAGTAGACTCTGTTGCTGGCCACCTCGGTGTCCAGAGCCACCACGTTCTTCAGGTTGGGGATGAGGCTGGTGTACTCGCTCCTGTCCAACGTCATCTTGCGCACCTCGTGGCGGTTGGTGAAGAAGAGGTAGGCGATGGATCCTGGGGACACGGAAGGGCAGTCAGGGCAGCGGAAGGGACCCTTTGGTGGGGCCGAGAGCATCTACCTCCCCACCCCCACGTGCCACCCTGCAGTGGGTGGTGGCTGAGCCCGAGGAGACTCCCAGGATAACACGGAGGGGGCGGCAAACACCCCGCTGGTGTATTAGCTGTGTGTTTCGGATGCTTTGATATCTGGGGACTTGCTGATCGTGGAGGGGCAGCCCCTGCCAGGCCTGGCCAATGCCTAGAGATAGTCAAGTCCCACCTCATCTGCAGTGTGACCAGCCCACATCCCTGTCACCTCCTCCATTGGCTGTCAGACTCCAGGCCCCTTATCCTTCTACCCTAATCACCCCAGGGCCAGGTACCAGACGACCAGGGACAGCCCCACGTCCCCACAGCCTGCTAGAATGATTCGCACTCGGCGACGCTAAGCCTGCTTCCCTGTGCCGCCCAGTCCTTCCTGAGGAAACCACGGTAAAGGCTCCCGTCTTCCTTTCCCTTCTCTCTGCCTCCAGGTCAGCCCGGGTGCTTCCCCGTGGGGCCCCCCAAGGCATGGCACACCCCTTCCTCTTGGGATCTATAAGTAACAATCTTGTTTTTGTTTCTTGAGACAGGGTCTTGCTCTGTCGCCTGGCTAGAGTGCAGTGGTATCACCATAGCTCACTGTAGCCTCCAACTGCTGGACTCAAGCAATCCTCCTGCCTCAGCCTCCCGAGTAGCTGGGACTACAGGCACGCACCACCATGCCTGGCTAATTTTTTATATTTTGTAGAGACGGGGTCTCACTCTTGCTCAGGCTGGTCTCGAACTCCTGACCTCAAGCGATCCTCCCGCCTCCTCACAACTCCACTGTGACAGTCACACCTCTGGAAACACAGGATCCCCTGACCTAGGGGAGTCCAACAATTGCTACACGGTTGCAGTTATGACCTAACCCTCACGGTGGAAAAGAAATTCAGCTATTTCCACAATTTTGTTTCACGCTGAGCTATTGTTCTATTTTGGTCTCTGTTTTAAGTAGATTTGCTTTTCTTGGGGTTATGTTCCAGCGAGACGGGGTGTGGGTGGCTTGGGCAATGGCTTTCCAGCTTTTGCTGCCTGAAGTCACTGACTAGGTTGTCCCAGACAGGAAGGCAGCTTCCTGTCCCCGCCCCGCCAGCAGGGCAGGGAACTCCTCAGCAGAAAGTTTAGGTGACGAAATTCCCCACCTTACTGGCTCGTGAGGGACGAGGACAGCACCTCACGTCACCTCCCCGCACTCACCCGCCACTTTGCAGGCCTTGGTGTGGGGGTCTAGCTGGAAGCCCTCCCGACACTCGCATTTATAGCCGCCCTCCAGGTTCACGCAGAGCTGGCTGCAGGTGTCCGGGTCCTGACACTCGTCGATATCTGGGAGACAGAGAAAGAGTTTGGGGTCGACTTTGCCCAGCGCGGAGCTAATGGATGTAGACCAAAGCCAACGCCTCCCAAAGCATCAGGGGACAGCCCGTCCTCTGGGGGACATAGTCAAGGGAATGGCCAAGTGGCACCCTCAACAATGACCCTGACCTCACCATGCACCTCAGTTGCCCAGCTAAGAGACTGAAGCCGCGTCAGCCGAGATTTCTTCTTTATTAATCCCCCAAATCAACAATCTCTGACAAGCCAAGCGCTCTTTGAAGATCAGGCCTGGGCTACCTGTTCTGTGACGTCTCATGAACCCCCCCCCTCCCGTAGAGCGGGGACTATTTTCATGCCCACTTAAGAGATGGGGAAACTGAGGCACGGAGGGGCATTTAGGTGCCATGTCAGGAAGGGCAGAGGGAGGGGCTTGGCCCTGCTCGGGAATCACCTTCGCATCGTCGCTGGTCCACCAGCCGGTAGCCGTCGGGACACAGACACTCGTAGCCGATCTTGAGGTCGTTGCAGATGTGGGAGCAGCCTCCGTTGTTGTCCAAGCACTCGTTGGTGCCTGTGCCGGGCACGGGGACACAGACTGGTCAC